ATTTCTTTTGTGTTTTGGATATCATGTCAAAAGCCCAGGCTACAACAGCAAAAATAAATAAGTGGGTCTACATCACACTAAAAAGCTCCTGCACAATAAATGAGACAATCAACAAATAGAAAAGACAACTTACAGACTGGGGAAAAAAATTTGCACACTTTATATCAAATGAGGAGTTGATATCTAAGATTTATAAAGAACTCATACAAATCAATAACAAGAAAACATATAACCCAGTAAAAAATGGACAAATGACTTGAATAGACATTTCTTTAAAATGGCATAAGAATGGACAGCAGATACTTTGGAAGTATTAGTTGAAAAAATGTCCAACATTACTAATGAGCAGAAAAATGAAATCAAAACCACTATGAGATACTACCTCTTAGCTGTTAGGATAGCTGTTATCAAAAGATAAAAGATAACAATGTTAATGAGGGGGAAGAAGGAAGCCTTGTTGCTATTGGTGGGAATGGAGATTGATGCAGCCATTATGTAAAATAATATGGAAGTTCCTAAAGAAATTAAAAATAGAACTACTATATGCAATTAGTCTTCTGGATATATGCCCAAAGGAAATAAAATTACTACCTCATGAAGATATCTGTACTCCTATGTTAACTGCAGCATTATTCACTATAGCCAAGATATGGAAACAACCTAGATGTCCTTCAATGGATAAACTATGGTATATACATACAATGGAATATTATTCAGCCTTTAAAAAGAGGAAAATGAGGAAATCTTGCCATTTTCCACAACATGGATTGACCTGGAGGACATTATACTAGGAGAAATAAGCCAGAGACAAAAAGAAAAATATTGTATAATTTCACTTATATGTGGTATTCTCCCCAAAAGATCAAATATATAGAGAGAATGAAACAGGGTTACCAGTGCTGAAGTCTGGGAGCAGAGAATGGGGAGATCTAGGTAAAACGTTACAAAGTAGCAAATATATAGAATAAACAGGTCAAAAAATGTGATGTACAACAACATGTGGATTAAAATTAGTAATAGTGTTATATACAGGATTTTTTTCTAAACTAAGTAGATTATAGTTGCTTGCCACAAGGGGAAACATGGAATATTAGCTCATTTTGCATTGCTATAAAGGAATACCTGAGGCTAGGTGATTTATAAAGAAAAGAGATTGATTTGGCTCACCATTCTACAAACTGTACAAGAGGCTCATGGTTCCACACACGGCAGCTTCTGCTTGTGATGAAAGCTTCAGGAAGCTTTCAATCATGGTGGAAGGTGAAGGGTAGCAGGTGTGTCGCATGATGAAGGTGGGAGCAAGAGAGCAAGGCGTAAGTTCCCAGGCTGTTTAAGAATCAGCTTTCATGTGAACAAATAGAGAAAGAACCCATTCATTACTGCAAAGAGGACACCAAGCCATTCATGAAAGATCTGCCCCCAGGACCTAAACACCTCCGACCAAGCCTCACCTCCAGCACTGGGGATCACATTTCAACATGAGGTTTGGAGGGGACAAATTATATCCAATGGTGACTGAGAAGATGAATACATTGATTTGTTCCACTATAGTAACCATTTTACTACACACATGCATCTTATAACATCACGTTTTAGACCTTAAATATACGCAATACAATTTTTTTTTGAAGCTAGTTAGATGTGGAGCTTAGCAATGAGTGAATGTTTGCCAGTGATTGTGTAGACTTCAGAGCTCTTTCTAGTGAGTACAGATGGCCTCCAACTTAGTATGGTTCGACTTAAGATTTTTTGACTTACAATAGATTCATCAGGATGTAACCTCATTATAAGTTGAGGAGCATCCATATGTACCTCCATTCATGCTGGATAAATAGATTCTTTGGTTTTTTGTTTGTTTTTTTTTGTAGTTTTTTGAGACAGAGTCGTGCTCTGTCACCAGGCTGGAGTGCAGTGGTGCGATCTTGGCTCTTTGCACCCTCTGCCTTCCGGGTTCAAGCAATTCTCTTGCCTCAGCCTCCCGAGTAGCTGGGACTAGAGTTGCAGCTATTTTTAATATTTTTGTATTTTTAATAAAGACAGGGTTTCACCATGTTGGCCCGGATGGTCTCAATCTCTTAACCTTGTAATCCACATGCCTCAGCCTCCCAAAGTGCTGGGATTACAGGCATGAGCCACCGCACCTGGCCAGCAAATAGACTCTTTAAGGCACTGCTCTTCTTTGTCCCTGAGAGCAGACAACCACCCACCACCTGACCAGCTGCCTTATCAGATCTCCCTGTCCCATGCTCTCTTATCTAACATTCACCCTTCAACATACGGGAAGAAGAGTCCCAGAGTTCAACAGGGCAAAACTGACATTTTAAAAAGGAATTTTAATTAAGAGACTAAAGGGAAATCTCTATGTACAAAGGCTGAGAGGAAGTTCTAAAGGGTCTGATAGAAAGAGAATAAGTTGTGGAATTAGACAGATACGGTTTCCAGACCTTGGCAAATCACTCAACCCATCAGAGGCTCACCTGTAAAGTAGAAACAATCATGACTAGCTTGTAGGCAGTATGAAGAAATAGAAAATAGTGTACATGCAAGTGTCACCTTGGGCAGGCCAAAGCCTAAACTTGCTGAGAAATATGCCTGAGGAAACGACCGTCACTATATCCTCTCTTACAGCCAGTTTGCAGGATTGGGGTGAGACTATTTGTCACCATTTGCTTGCTCCTGTGAGCAGGCAGACCTTTAGCCAGACCCCTCAAAAGACAGGTGAGGGAGAACCCAGGGGCTTCAAATCCTTGTGAGGATGGCGAAGAGGGCCTCTCACCTGCCAGAGCGTTATTCCAAGCAACTGGCAGTAGCCACAGCCCTGTCTTCACAGGGGAACGTAGGGACTGGGGGTGCTTAATCCTCACTAGGAGCTGTGTGTTCCTTGTTGAACCATTTCTCCAAATTTCTGTATTACATCTTGTGTGTCTATTGGAATCTTTCCTTCAGTCTCATTGGCACAAAAGAAGTTAGCTCTTTTCTGTCGCCCCCTCCTTCAAACAACTTTGATTTAACCCCAGGTGAAATAGGCTCATCTGCCTGTCGGGTGTATTAGTCAGGGTTTCTTAAGGGACAGGACTGATAGGATAGATGTATACATGAAAGGGAGTTTATTAAGGAGTGTTGACTTACACAGTCACAAAATGAAATCCCACAATAGGCCGTATGCAAGCTGAGGAGCAGGGAAACCAGTCTGAGTCTCAAAACCTCAGAAGTGACAGTGCAGCCTTCAGTCTGTGGCTGAAGGCCTAAGAGCCCGTGGCAAGCCACTGGTTTAAGTCCAGGAGTCCAAAAGCTGAAGAACTTGGAGTCTGATGTTCGAGGGCGGGAAGCATCCAGCACGGGAGAAAGGTGGAGGCCAGAAGACTCATCAAGTCTGTTCTTTCCATCTTCTTCGACCTGCTTTACTCTAGCTGCACTGGCAGCTGCTCAGATGGTGCCCACCTAGATTGAGGGTGGGTTTGCCTCTCCCAGTCACTGACTCAAATTTTAGTCTCTATTGGCAATACCCTCGTAGACACGTCCAGGAATAATACTTCAATCCAATCAAGTTGACACTCAATATTAACCCGCACATCCTGGTTTTTCTTGGTTTTATCTACTTGCCTCAACCTTTTTAGAGAAGACTCTAAAATTCTTTTTTGTCAATATGGATATGTCTTTTTTCCATACCCAATTTTACTCCCTCTCTTCTTTTGAAGAAAATCTGGGACAGGACTTCTGGACTTGAACACCAGCCAGGGAGAAGAAACAATACCTAGGAAGTGACACTCAGTTGGAGGAAGAACGATTATTCTAGAATTGCTCTCTGCTGTGGCACCAGAACTGCAGGAGATCTGGTCTCTGCACATGTTGATGTCTGCATCCCGGTAAAAAATGGCTCACTTTCCCACCCTTACCCATGGAGGAAGATGAGGCAGCCAGTTCCAAGAAATTACAAGAAAAGCCTCTGTCCTGATCTCCTGACCCACCCCTCTCATGCTCTCAGTGCTTCTACTCTTGCTTCATTAATTTATCCAGCAAATACTAATTGTCTACTAGGTACCAAGTTCTGTTATAGATAATGAAGATATGGCTGTGGAAAAAGAACTAGAAACCTGCCTTTCCATTCTAGTGGAAGAGTAGGAAGATAAACAATAAACAAGGTCAACAAGCAAACTATAGCAGGTCAGGTGATTTAAGTGCCAGGAAGGAAACTGAGTGGTACAGATCATTGCAGAGGGTAGGTTGCAATTTTAAATTGAATAGTGAAGTTAGCCTCACTGATAAGGCAGTCTTCCAGCAAAGATCTGACAGAGGTGAGGAAGTGAATCTATGGAAACCTGGGGATACAGCCTTCCAGCAAATAGCAGGTGCAAAAACCCAGAAGCCTAGGGCATTGGTATTTGAGGGCAAACAAGAGGTCTGTGTGCTGGAGCAGAGTGAGCAAGGTGAGAATTAGAGAGTGAGGACGGGGAGATTATGAGGAAAGGAAACAGGTCATACAGTGCCTTGGAGGCCATTATGAAGACTTTGGTTTTTACCCTTATGAGATGGGAAGCCATTGGCGGTTTTAGAGCAGGAAAGTGACATGATCTGATTTATGTTCCAAGGCTCATGCCGGCTGCCCTGTTAAGACAAAACTGGAGGGAGACAAGCAAAGTGGGGACACCAGTGAGGTAGCCATAGTGACCATCCAGAGATTTCTGGATGGTGGCCTGGAATAGGTAGTTCTGAGAAGTGTTGTATTTTGGAGGTAGATCAATAGAATTTATTGGTGCATTGAATATATATGATGTGAAAAAAAGTGGGGAGACAAAGATAACATCAACGCTTTTGGCCTGAGCAGCTGTAATTTGTGATTGCATTTGATCACATGGCAAGCTCAGTCGGGCTCAACACTGTTTGCTCCTTCCTAGTTGGAACTTCGTGTGGGCCTAAGCTGTTTAACTAGAATTTCATCTGGCAGACGTAAACATTGTATTCTTCTTTTAAAAGCTCAAATAACAAATATTCTAAAATGCAAAGCAAAAAATTAAAGGATTTATTGAAATCGTGTGACAATATATCCCTAACACAATGAAGAAGATGACAATTATGATTTTCACAGAGTATTTTGCACTTGCCTAAGCACAAAAGCAAAACCAGAGCAAGGCAAACAACATACAAACAAAATTTGATGCTATCTAATAACTTTCATGAAACAACCATAAATGAATTTTGTTTTATTAAATCAGGCTTCAGGACTACTGAATTGCATTCACTAAAATGCTGTTTGAAATTTTACTTACTCCCCACCCACCCCACTACTCTTAATTCATCGCCCTCCCCACAAGAGGACAAAATGCAAAAAAGTTAGTAAGCAAGATATAAATAATAATTCAAAAACAGAGATCAAAGTAAATTTTTTTTTCAGTCTCTGCATCTATGCTCAAATCAATGTTTTCTGAGCATACAGGGAAGCAAGGAAACCAATTCTCTAGCTCTTGCTCTGCCTTTTATTCTCCTCCAGCCCCCAATACATTTCTGAATATTTTTAAATCCATTTATCACTAAGTACTTGTATATAACCAGAAGCACTGACTATATTGTTAATCATACTTTGGAGCAATTTTCATGGGGAATTGTACAAATGTTCTTTGATACGTATCTCCTCACTAGAAAGACAACCTTAAACATAGTAAAGACTTAGCCTGAAGTGAAGAAGGCAACTTTCTGTTGACCACACTGAGCCTTAGGTCACCAGATTTCTACTCAGGAGAGGCAGTGGGCAGGAGGGGCCAGTTTGGAGGGCTTTGTTTAGCTCTATAATCTCTGTAGGCACCCACCAACACCGGTCCTTCTCCTACTACCCACTGTGTGCTTCCAACTTCAAGCTGAGTTCTCTGCATGGACTCCAGCAGTTCCCAATAAACCATCATTCATGGGATCCTCCTGTATAGAGATGAGGAAGGTGCCACAAGCAAGACATACTTGGCCAGAAGGGTTGAGTAATGAGGTCTCTTTTCTTCTTTGTCACTAAAAAAATTACATTTAATTTTGAGGATAAAGATAAATTATTCTAAGACAGGATTAAAAACTAAACAAAACAAAAACAAACATAGAAAAGAAAACCTTAATACATCTTTTAAATGAGGGACAGTTGTATAGAGTAGACTTCCTTGTTGTTGATAGTTTTAATTCAGATATCAATCTAGAGATCCTAAGTTTTTTCCTCCAACACCTGTTCTTATTTACATAAAGTAGAATTTAAAACAAAATTTCGATTCATTAAGTAGAAATATTTAATAATAATAAATACATAAAAATATATTCATATAAAATAGAAATGCATGAAAAATATTCATCCATATAGAAATTTTAAATTGTCATAGCAATGTCAATTTAATTGGCTCAATAAGAGAGTGAAAACCTATTGCTTCAGGACTGCTTCAGTCTGTAACGCTATTTTAAAAAACTTATTTCAACATTTTCTTAAATACTATTCATTGGTTGTTAAATTTTTATTTTGCTGTCTTAGAATGAAGGTTGTTATTAGGGATGTTACATTCAGAGATAAAGTTCCAAATTTCATAGAACCCTTTATTCTCTGCCTCGTCTTTACATTTCAATCTTTTGGGGGAATGTCATTCAAATATAGTTTACAAATGAAATATAAAGGATGAAAGAATGGGTAAACAAAGAAGTCCGCAAGGTGTAACAGTGAATATTGCTTTAAGAAAATACAAAAACAACTTTAAATAAGATCCTTCAAACACGAGTCATCCCATTCTCAGGGAGCTTCAGAATTTCCACATGGCTGAGTGCCAAATTCCACAAGTCATGGAATTTCCACGCATCTCTCTTCACTTCTCTGACTTCTTCTGTCTAACATGGGCTGATATATTTCAGCCACTACACAGTAGCTGGAATGTGGTGGTAGAGCTTCAATTTCAACAACTCTGTGAGCCCCTTCATAAACCTTTTGCTCCTACACACAAGAGAGAAAATAATCAGTTGGTAAATGGCTGTCATTAAGTCACAGCTGTATTTTTGTTTAAATTAACAAGTTGTACATGGTCACAGCGGTAGATGGGTTGTGGGGTTTCTTCCCAGACACACCCTTCTTTCCTAGAGTCCTAGGCCATAGCCTAGGTAAAGGTAAAGGGACAAGGCAAGTAGCTGTGTAGGTGCAACTTGACTTCTCCTTGAGGGCTGCTGGCTGGTTGACCCTGTGGTCAGAGTCTTCTTTTTAAGAATTTTGTTTGTTGTATGAGACACAGTTTTACTCCATCGCCTAGCCTGGAGTGCAGTGGCACTATCTCGGCTCACAGCAACCTCTGCCTCTCAGGTTCAAGGGATTCCCGTGCCTCAGCCTACCAAGTAGGTGGGATTGCAGACGCACACCACCACACCAGGCTAATTTTTGTACTTTCAGTAGAGACGGAGTTTTACCATGTTGGCCAGGCAGGTCTTGAACTCCTGACCTCGAATGATCTGCCTGCCTCAGCCTCCCAAAGTGCTGGGATTACAGGCATGAGCCACCTGACTTGGCTTTCTTTTTAAGAATTTAAAGTGTGCAGCGAGAATGGTGTGCAGCGAGATGAGCAGAGATAACTACAGGTATGCAACTGTGGCCACAGAGAGACAGAAAGTCCAAGAGACAGAGCAGGATCCCTTAGAACTCACTTCTGTTTCCCTTCCCAGTCACCACTAAGCCTGCCGGCACTCCAAGTCCTGCCTCTGTCCCTGAGATTGCTTGCCTATCTCCTAATAATCCCTCCCTCCTTTGTTTCTAAACAAGTTGGACTGTGGTTTCTGCTCCTTACAACAAAAACCCCTAATCTTAGATGACACCAAAAAAGGAACAAATTCAATTATCCACCAAGTCCAGACAGAAGCACCGATGGTAGATTAGAATACCACAGCAAGGCCGGGCATGGTGGCTCATGTTTGTAATGCCAGGAGTTTGAGAGGCCAAGGCAGGCGGATCAGTTGAGCCCAGTAATTTAAGACCAGCCCAGGCAACATGGCTAGAGCCTGTCCCTACTAAAAGTACAAAAAACAATAGCTGGGTATGGTGGCATGTACCTGTAGTCCCAGCTACTTGGGAGGCTGAGGTGGGAGGATCATTTGAGCCCAGGATGTTGAGGCTGCTGTGAGCTGTGATTGCATTGCTACACTCCAGCCTGGATGACAGAGTCAGACAGACCCTGTGTCAAAAAAAAAAAAAAAAAAAAGCAAAACTGGCACAAAAAGAATCATGTGATTCAAAAGCTATTTTAAAATAAGGTGTGAGGCTGGGCATAGTGGCTCATGCTAGCCTAGGCAACATAGTGAGATCTCGCCTCTACAAGAAAAAAAAAAAAAAGCTGGATGTGATGGTGCATGCCTGTAGTCCCAGCTCCTCAGGAGGCTGAAGCAGGAGGATCACTTAAGCCCATACGTTAGAGGCTACAGTGAGCTATGATCACCACTGTACTCCAGCATGGGTGACAGAGTGAGACCTGGTCTAAAAATAAATAAAATAAATAAATAAATAAAGTATGCGAAGCCCATAAAAATGATTATTTGTGGCAGTCACATGGAATTAAATACTGTTAATACCAATCTTTAGATATGCAGGGAAAACCGTGGAGACAAACCGAAGGATGGAAAGGGCACACACACATTCTGATGGTGATGCCAGCACCAACGGTGGATCAATACTGGTTGAGAGTAAGAAGGAATTAAAGATAAGGAAAAATAAAAGGAGGCAGAGTAGCAGAAGAGGACATCTCATATGACCAAAATACTGGTTAAATAAACAAAAGAGAAAACACTAAATATATCTATTCATCTGAACTTACCTTTTCTAGTGAATTGTTGATTATAAAAACTCGGTATACTAGTTCATAGTAATCTTCTATAGATATATTTTTTTCCTTTTGGTATCTATGTGGTAAATTTGGAGCATGGAGAATTACCAACAAAGATCCATTGACTTGGGTTATGTTCATGACTGGAGGATCTATTTTTGCTGGAGAAAAAAACGTAAAACTTTGAGAAATCATCAAATGAATGTATTATACACAGATACATTATGTATAATGACAAATCAGCTTGGTGGGAGGATCACCTGAGCCCAGGGAGGCTGAGGTTGCAGTGAACTATGGTCATGCCACTGCACTACAGCTTGTGCGGCATAGTGAGACCCATGTCAAAAAACAAAAACAAAAAGAAAAAAGAAAATTGCACGTGTATTTGAATCTCAAACCTTTATAAATTTAGGGGGTGTTAGATTCTTAGCAGAGTAAAGACGGAAACATACAAATTACTTTCCTCTGTTTTATTGGAAGGGCTTTCTTTGTTTGTTTGTTTGGTTGGTTGCTTTTGGGTTTTTCTTGAGACAGGATCTCATTATGTTGCCCAGGCTGGTCTCTAACTCCTGTACTCAAGTGATTCTCCTTCAGCTTCCTGAGTAGCTGAGATTACAGGTGTATGCCACCACACCTAGGCTAGTCTGACTTTTTATTGACAGTGTAGCCCTTGGAGGTTCTAAGATTTTTGTGGGGGTATTAGTTATAACTCCTTGCCTTGTGCTGGCCTAAAACCTTGTCTTTAGTCCTGGGAGTGGCTGTTACCACTCAGGGTCTAGTTACCACATCCAGCAAACGCCCTCAGGGCAGCTGGGTCACTATGTTGATCCTCTGGTTCCCCTTTGATTTCCATGTACTTTGTTTTGGCCCCCTGAGGATTCTGTTTATTTTCATTATTGCCCCTCTGTGGAGTTTGAAGAATGTGTTTTATTTTATCCAGAATTTCTAAGTGTTTTAGAAGAAGAGAGTTTCCTACTCCCAGGCTATTTAATTTGGAACCATAAGTTTTTAAATCACTTTCCAACTATATTGGAATAATGTGATAGTTAACTTTAAATACACATGTCCCTTTTGTAGTCAGGCACATATTTCAGGCATTGGCCTATCAGTGAGTCAGCTGCGGACATCTCAGGGCTCCTGGCTTATGATCTGTGATGCTAGATTTCTTGACCCATTCACTGGATTGTGATTGTGTTACAAGACCAAGTCAAGATTATTTGACCTCATAGCACTTTACTTGTTAACAGCTCTCTCCTTGAAATATTACCTTCCCACACTATTCATGAATGTATCAGCCCACAGATTTCCTCCTACCTCTTTGGCTATTGCTTCTTAGTCTCCTTTTAAGATTTTTCTTACTCAGGCATCTTTGGGTGAGAATCCCTCAATATCTGGCCTTACTCAAAACTGCCTCTCACTACTCTCTCCCTAGGCAATCCTATCAATGCCCACTGTACTGTATGCATGAAATGACTCACAAATTTTTGTCTCTAATAGACTTTACCTTTGAGTCTTGGATCTGAAGAGATTGTCCCTTGGATCTCTCAAAAGCATCTTAAACTTAACGTATTCAAAACCAAACTTATAATCTCTATTACCTTGCATCCCACCAAACTGGTCTTTTTCATCAAACCCCATCAAAAACATCTCAGCCATTCAGCTAATTATGCATGCAAGAAAATTAGAAGTAGTCTTTGACGTGTTCTCTTCACCATTATATTCAATCTATCACCTGGTCCTGCCAATTTTTCTTACTAAATGTCCCTCCAGGAATAAATTTTCTCTAGTCCTTTTCATCAGACAAATTCTGTCTCCTGTAGACTATTATTAGTAACCTACTACTTCACTTATCCGCATCCAACCTGTTCCCCCAAATATAGTCAAAATGACCTTTCCTAGACACAAGTCTGATCATATGGCTCCTGAGTAAAATTACTTTTTTCTGGAGGAAGTCACAACTCTTTAAAAAATTATTGTACCTGCCCTACCTTTCCAGTCCCACCTCATTATGAACCCCTTCCTGCATGCTCTTCTTCAATATACTGCTTGTCTTTCATTCCCTTGCGTTTGCTACGCCAGAGAGCCTTTGCAAACGCTGTTCTCTTGCTTGGAATGCTCTGTTCTTTGCCTCAAGTGATCCTCGCACCTCGGCCTCCCAAAGTGCCGGGATTACAGGCATGGAGCCAATGCACCTGGCTTTCACATCTATTTTCAATCCAAGCAATTCAAGGGTCAAATAATACTGAAATCTCACTAAGTATTAAATGCTGCTTTTAACTGAAGAAAGTTTATTTTATTTTATTTTTAATATTTTTAAAATATTGCTTTGTCTCTAGATAGAAACCATAAATCATAACTTCTTAATCTAAGATAATATCCTGCTGCTCAAAAACAGGTGTCAGAGGAGCCAATGCATGCAGCTGGCTCATTAGTCTATATCGCAGATGCCAGGAACATGCTGTCCTGAGGACCTAGAAACATGTTTTTTGAAATATGTCCTTCAGAAGTTCTTAGGAGCTGTGGTAAGAGAGTGCAAAGCTGGGGGTGAGGAAGCAGCTGAGTGGGTGATTCTCTCACTATTGCATCAACAAGAGTAGTAGCTATAGACTGGGTTTCTTACTCTTCTACTAAGAGGCCTGAAATCAAATGACTTTTTAAAGGACCTAGTCTAAAGCTTTTTTCTTTTCTTTTCTGATTTTTTTAGGGAGAATGGTTATACAGAAAACACACAAACCCTTCTTAACTCAATACTATCCCAATTTAAATAGAATTGAGCTAAAGCTGTGTCAGTCAATGTCTTTGGTTATTCTTACCTGACTGGCCTAATGGCTTAGGCTGAAGGAAGTTTTGTTTGATAAGTTAATTTGAATGTGACCCTATTTCTAGGCTTGAATATAATAATCAAACTGATCTGTGAATTCCCTTCACTGCTGTTCATCAGTTTAGTCATGAAATCTCCTTTTCCTCAACTAGACAATTGCTGGTTGAGTGTATTGGCCTTGAATTTCAATGTATCCAAGAAACAACGTGAGAGTTACCATGAATTAGTTTGCTCAACTCTATTCCACCTTCTTGCTAATTAGAGAGTTGGGGGGAAATGCATCTAGCATTTTGGACATGATCCAATTAATTTGGTTCTAATTGGACCTTGCACCAGTTAGAAGAGGTGTATGGATGGATCCCTAAGTACTAGGGTACAGAATGTGAATATTTCTGTGGCCATATGAATGCAAAGCAAAAGGCTCATACTGAAAAGCAGTCTTAAAAAATCTAGGTGGTTAGAGAATTGTAAGGAACCCATAGTAGTCAAAACAATCTTGTAAAAGACATACAAAGAGGAGGGCTCACCCTTTCCAATTTCAAAGCTTACTACAAAGCAACAATAATCAAAATAGTGTGGTATGGGCACAATGATAAATGTATAGATCAATAGAATAGAATTGAATGTCTGGAAATAAACCACGCTTCTATGGTCTATTGATTTTCAACAAGTGTGCCAAGAACACTCAATGGGGATAATTTTCAACAAAAGGTTCTGGGAAAACTGGATAGTCATATGTCAAAAAATAATATTGGACCCTTACCTCACACCATATACAAAAATTAACTTAAAATGAATCAGACTTAAATGTAAGACATAAAACTATAAAACTCTTAGAAGAAAATATAGGGTAAATCTTCATGATTTTGGATTTGGCAAAGGATTCTTAGATATGACACCAAAAGCACAAGCAACAAAAATAGAAATAGATAAATTGGATTTCATCAAAGTTTAAAACTTGGTATCAAGTGATACCATCAAGAAAGTAAAAAAGACAACCCACAAAATGGGAGGAGCTAGCTGAGAAACATATATCTGATAAGACATTGGTATGCAGAATATATAAAGAACTCTTACAACTCAAAAATCAAAAGATACGATGAAATTTTTTAAATGGGCAAAGGATCTCAATGTACAATTCTCCAGAGAAGGTACAAAATAGCAAATACACATAAAAAAGAAGCTCAACATCATTAATTAGCAGGTAAATGCAAATAAAAACCACATGAGATACCATTTTATACCCATTAGGATGGCTATAGTCAAAAAAGATTGGTAAAAATGTGGAAAAATCGGCCGGGCGTGGTGGCTCAAGCCTGTAATCCCAGCACTTTGGGAGGCCGAGACGGGCGGATCTTAAGGTCAGGAGATCGAGACCATCCTGGCTAACACAGTGAAACCCCGTCTCTACTAAAAAATACAAAAAACTAGCCAGGTGAGGTGGCGGGCGCCTGTAGTCCCAGCTACTCGGGAGGCTGAGGCAGGAGAATGGCATAAACCCAGGAGGCGGAGCTTGCAGTGAGCTGAGATCCGGCCACTGCACTCCAGCCTGGGCGACAGAGCGAGACTCCGTCTCAAAAAAAAAAAAAAAAAAAAAAAAAAAGTGGAAAAATCAAAACTCTCATATATTGCTGATGGGAATGTAAAATAGTGCAGATGCTTTGAAAACAGTCTGGCATTTTCTCAAATGATTAAACATAGAGTTACTTTGAGACCCAGCAATTCCACTCCTATGTATATATCGAAGAGAAATATGTATGCCCAGCTGTGCGTGGTGGCGCATGCCTGATAGTCCTTGCTACTTGGGAGGCTGAGGTAGAAGGATTGCTGGAGTCCAGGGGTTCAAGACTAAAGTAAGCTATGATTGTGCCACTGCACTCCAGCCTAGGTGACAGAGTAGGATCCTGTCTCTCAAAAAAACAAACAAGAAAAAAACCAAAAAAACTCTCACACAAAAATTTTTACGTGACTGTTTATAGCAACATTATTCATAATGGCCAAAAAGTAGAAACTACCCAAATGTCTATCAACTGAGGAACAGATAAATAATATGTGATATATCCATATAATGTACTATTATTTGGCCACAAAAAGGAATGAAGTGCTGATACATACTACAATCTGAATGAACTTTGAAAACATGTTAAGTGAAAGAAGCTGGTCAAAAAAAATCATGTATTTTATGAGTCTATCCAGAACAGGGAACTCTATAGAGACAGAAAGATTAATAGTTGCCAGGGCTGCGGGCTAGGGGAATGGCAAGACTGGAAGGTGATAGCCAAAGGGTATGGAGTTGCTTTTTGAGGTGATAAAAATGTTCTAAAATTGACCATGAATGATAGTGGTACATATTTGTGAATATAGTAAAAACCATTAAACTGTATGCTATATGCTTAAAGTATAAGCTGTGTGAATTATACCTCAATAAGGCTGTTTTAAAAAATCTAAGTGGATGCAGTGACAATCTATTTCCCCAGTGTCCTATAGTTGCTCTATGGACTCTTGAACAAAATAGTTACATGATGGAGGATATATATAGACTTAACAATATGGATCTCCTCTTACCAAATTTGGTCTGACCTTCAGAGTGTCACTGCAGAGTGATCTTCCGTTCCAGGAAGGAAGATCAATGTTGAACCCCTAGTATAGTGCCGTATTCCAGGGGCTCTCATCTTCCATCTCGTTGCAGGTAGGTTTTTTTTGTTCCCTTCCAAAACGGAGGGGGCAAGAGACACTGGTTATAGTTTTTCTTTACTGCTGGGTATAGATTCTGGTTACAGATTCTGTTTATAGATTTTTATTTACTGCTTCAATGCTTTTATCAGCAGACCCCTCATCACTCCTGGGACCACACATACACCCATTGATGTAGTCAATGCCTTATTCATGAGCATAGTACTCCACAATATATTGCTTATGACAAAGAACTTAAGTTAATGTGAAAAGAGTGAAGTAAGGTCTCAAGACCCACAGAAATCCATGACTTTATAGGAAGGTGAAATGCATAATTGAAAACTCAGTTTGAGAGATTGTCTTGTGAATTGGCATATGAATTGGTAAACGCTCCAATTGGTAAATGCTTCACTAAGCCTGGGGCCAATATATGGTGCTATTTCTTCCATAGACAGAATTCACTGGTCTAGGATACAAGAAGTGGAAGTGAGAGGGGCAACTCTGACTGTTATCCATAGAGAACAACTCATGACATGATGACACGTTTTTGTTTCCCATATGCTTGGCCTTGAATTCTTCTGGTTTATAACAAAAATGGTTTCCAAAAATTGGAAATTGAGGCCCTCTCCTGACCATTTGGAGCTCCTTGTGCCATTTAGCTAACAAAAAGAAAATGAGGTTCTTATATTGTCTGGGGTGATTCATTCTGATTTTCAAGGCATAATACTGTAATAAATACATTGGGGTCAGGTGGAAGAATTCTTGGTAGCCTCAAGTGTGCCTCTTAGAGCTTCTCTATTCAGCAATAAAAAATAATGTAAGGTTAGGTCAAGCTGAGATAGGAAACACCAAAAGGACTGAAACTCCTCATGGATAAAAAGCTGAAATGCTGGCTGAAAAGAAGATGAATGTTGAGTTTATAATGAGGGAAGAAGTCGTAAATATTAACTACAACTTCATGATTAGTTGCAATTATGAGGACTGTGGTAAACATCTTTATTTTCTTTCTTGTTCTATTTATGCACATCTTTATATCTATACATTAAACCCCTTCTCTCTCTTTCTTTTCCCTACTATTTTAGCCAATGTCTGTTGGTAATGGTTCATTTTATCACCTATATCTTAGATTATATTATTCTATGATTGTGACTAAACTAAAAGAGGAATAAATATCATTCAGGATGGATACTGAGAAAGCACTTTTGGTCTGCCTTTTTGGGGAGGTGAGACTAAAAGTCTAATTTCCTTAACAGAAAATTCTTCTATGAGTATTTTCATGAACTTAACCCTCATGTTTGGGGAAGGACTAGGGCACTATGACAAATTCTGCTGTCTAAAAATACTTTTTGGGGGGCTGGGCATGGTGACTCACACCCATAATCCCAGCACTTTGGGAGGCCAAGGGGGGGCGGATCACCTGAGGTCAGGAGTTTGAGACCAGCCTGGCCAACATGGTGAAACCTCATCTCTACTAAAAATACAAAAATTAGCCAGGGATAGTGGCACATGCTTGTAATCCTAGCTACTTGGGAAACTGAGGTCGGAGAATCGCTTGAACCCGGGAGGCAGAGGTTGCAGTGAGCCAAGATCGTGCCACTGTACTCCAGTCTGGGTGACAAAGCAAGACCCTGTCTCACACACACACACACACACACACACACACACACACAGAGGCTCTGCAGTCAGATGCAGTAAATGTGAACCCTGACTTGTATAATACAGGTCATGAGACTGGACCAATGACTAAAGCCTCTACATCTTGATGTTCTGGGCTAGAAAATTAGGATAATAAAAGCTATCTCCTGGAGTTGTTCTGAGAATTAGCCCAAATGAGATAACCATGTAGAGCCCTCAGCAAAGCACAAGGCCTGGTCACTAGCCGTGCTCTGGGAGGGCTGTCCAAAAGCAGGAAGAACAAGGGCAAAGAAACTCCATGGAACTCACTTTCCCACCAGGGAGTGAACCGCGGCGTCATGCTCCAGTCTGAGTAGCTCCCAGCCGAGGCCGCCCTCACCCTCCCGTAATAAGGTTCCTGTATGTCTGAGGTTTCACTGGTAAGGTCACAAAAGAGTTCTTGAGTACCCCAACAGTCTTCTTTATTTTTCCATTGTCTCTGTCCATATCTGTAGCAGGGAAAAGGCAAAGATCTGAGTTTCTTTTCTCCACTCAAGGAGTCTTCAATATTTTCAGATTGATAATTCTTAATACCTGATTCTAGTATCAATATCACCATGATAGCTTATGGCTACTTTTCAGAAGCTTTAAAAAATTCCTTCTTATTAACTGTCTAAGTCCATTTTCTGTTGCTGTAACTGAATACCCGAGACTGGGTAATTTATAAAGAAAAGGAATTTACTTCTTACAGTTTTGGAGGCTAGGAAGTCTAATGTCTAAGAGCCACATCTGGTGAGGGCCTTTTTGCTGGTGGGGACTCTCTGCAGAGATTTAAGGTGGCAGAGGATGTCATAGGCATTCAAGAGAGATGGCTTTTACATATATATATAAAAAACAGACCAACTTTTCTTATAACTAGCCCACTTCCTCAATAACACTTTAATTCGTTAATCCATCAATGGATGAATCCATTCATGGGGGCAGAATCCTCATGACCCAATCATCTCCCCAAAGTCCCACCTCTCAACATTGCTGCATTAGGATCAAGTTTCCAACACATGAGCTTTTGGGGGACACACAGAAGCCACAGCATTACCTGAAGTGCTGTCTTGCTGGAAGATAAACATCCCTGACACTTTCTGTATCACTAACATAAGGGTTTTAACTTATTTTTTAATAGTTGGCATAATGTTCTTTCAGGTGTGAGGACTGACTTCCATTTTTGAATACTCACTCTCCACATCCTTAATGCTCTGTGGTTTTGAGTGTTTGTGGTTTTTCATCACTTCTCATCAGCTCGCTATTGAGTAATGTGGCTGCTTCTGAGAAGTTGCTACCACTTTTCATCTCAGGTGCTGCTTACCCAACATACATGATTAATCTCTTTATTGAAAATTGACGGGAAGTTTTAGTGAGGACTATATATGGAGCCCTGTAATTAGGGGTTGGGAGAGGGGGAGTGAAACCCATGAAAAAAGGTAGTGAGGCAAGAGGCAGAGAGGTTGACTCAGTCTGAGGCCACAGGATGGTGTAATAGTCAAAGGGAAGATTCACGCTTTGTTTCCTTACCTGCCATAAATCAGACCAATGCAACAAAGTGATGGTGGGGAACAGAGAAGGAATTGGAGTCTGGGGAGAAAGGTTTCCCAAATTATTTATTGAAAGACTTGAAATCTAACTTTCTAGACACATAATAAGGAAGATTGACAGTATCTGTACTCAGTAATCTACATGGTGATAGCAATTTCATTCTATCACAATTAAAGCAGTACCACAACATGTATTGAGTATACTTTGATGTTTTAAAATTATTATTTATTTATAATAAGTCTTTAACTTAGCTGTAATGACTGACTTCTCTTTTAACATAATATCTCATTGTTTATCCCATTCTAAATGTGAGGGATGTAACAGTACTATAGTCCATGAACTGGATACACCAAAGTGAAAGTTTTCAAAATTGTAAATTTGTCCTGTGCTGTTGAAAATCCCTTAGAGACAGAAATGGATTCAGGTATTCTGGGGTCTGAAATTTATATACTCTTTTTAATCCATTTAGTGTTTCTATAACAGAACACATGAGGCTAGGTAATTGATAAGGAAAAGAGGTTTATTTAGCCCATGTTCTGCAGCCTGGGAAGTTACAAGAAGTGTGCTGCCAGCATCCACTTGGCTTCTGGTGAGAGCTTTTCATGTTGCATAAGAACATGCTGGAGAAGGTCCATGGGGAAAACAGATCGCGTGAAGAGGCCAAATTCAAGGGGCATCCTGACTTTACAACAACCACTCTGATAGAAACATTTCCATGACAAATTCAGTCTTGCAAGAGTGAGAACTCACTCAGCTGCAGCAATGATGGTACCAAGCCATTCATGAGCACTCCATCCCCATGATCCAAACACCTCCTACGAGGCCCCGCTTCCAACATCACCACACTAGGGATCAAATTTCAACATGAATTTTGGTGGAGACAAACTCAAACCATAGCAACTTGGGAGTCCTCTTTAAGAAAAGATGTATAAATATAAAATCCTTGCATGAGGTCCTGAAGTTTAATCTTCATTAGATTCATGGTAAAACAGTTTCTAATCTTCTTAGTACTTTGGTCCACAAATAGGTTCACTTTTGACCTATTTATACTGCTCAAGGAGAAGTATAAAAAGAGTAGCAATCTTTACTTCCTACACGCTGAAAGTATCTCCAGCTATGCACAAATCTACTTTTGTAATGAAGAAACGATCATTGTAAAGATTTGCAAATTTTACAATCGTTACATAAGATATGTACAGAGAAGTAGCAGTGGTTAAAGATGGAGATGCTTCTGGGGATATTCATTCTGAAATTAATTAGAGGGAAAATCTGATCTAGGACCTACCCCATGCTGGAGAGACATGGATGAATTTATGGGATAAAAATTGCTATTTTGGCCATAGCTGCATTTGATTTTCTGAATTTCTAGTGAAAAACCATGAAAGTTAAACTGTAATATCTCCTGTCTCACTGTCAGGAGACAGGATTGAGCCTCAACTCCCCTTGCCCCCAAAAAACATATGAGTGGAAAAACATGACATTTTCAAATCAGGAGTGTTTGTTTCCAAGCCTTGAGCCAGGAAAGGAGTAGATTATACTTGAGTTTTGGCAATGATCCAGTAGGAGTAGCCTGAGGATCACACGAGAGGAACATGCAGCAGCGTGTTCCAGTTTGTGTTCATGCTTACGAGACTCATTAGTTTTTGAAAAGAATTTTCTAAATAGTAAATCCACTCTGAAAGTGACTTTTAAATTAAAAACTTATTTTACACACTCACCTCCATGTTTGCCACAACTTCTTTTTCAACTATCAATAGTTTTATTCACTGAGTATTTGTTATGTGCTAAATAAGTTGCTTCCAACATTCGCTTGACAAACCTGTATTGAGAATCCACCATGTGCCAGGCTCCACTATGGAGGTGAAGGCTGAGCCTGTGAGGTCTTGGTGCAGGTCTAGGGCTGAAGTATCTGCCCAATGCACTGCATACCGTCATGCATTTTGAGTCCCCAGGCAGCCTTCAAGGGAGACAAGTCACTGCTATCCTGACCTTGGCTTCTTCTCAACCCCTCTGAAATGGAGAAAAAGCTCGGATCCTAACACTCCATTGCATTCTAGAACATGTTATCCCAGTGCCATCTCTGTCAGCTGAAGGAGGCTCAATTTACTTACATTTTGTACTGCACAAAATAGACACTGCTGTTGCCAGTAAGTGCCCTCCCAGGCTGCCACTGCAAAATGTTGTGAAAATTTCGGGACTGAAATTGTACCCTCTGAGGCTTCAGAGACTCATGTGCTGGCTGAGTTCCTAAGATAATAAGAGAAGGAAGAACATTGAACGTTGCTAGGAGCACTGTTGTTCCCAGCAGTAGTTTTCAATGGAATACTTGCATCAGGATTCCCTAAAGTAGTTGCTCTATGTGCAGATAGTAGAGGTGGAGCCCAGAAATCAACATTTTGAATCTTCAATGCAATGATTTTGATACACGCTAAAGTCTCAGAATGATGAGATCCAGATCATAAACATGTACATGCTATCTTCCCACCCTATTTCCCAGGCTGTAGGGGAAGTAAATTGCAGTAAAAAAAAAAAAAAAATTGCTATTATTTTATCCCCAAATAGTGATGGACTATAATGACTGAGATGAAGGACCCACACTGAGACCAACAACCATCTTCTTAGGAACCACTATATTGGTACTACTCAAGCAAAATTTGCTAGGGACCAATTCTGGCTCCAGGATCTCAGCCCAGCACTCAGTCCCTCCTTTCACAGGTTCTTGCTCAATCTCTGGGTCCTGCTTCCAAGTAGGTCTGCCTTTGCTGTCCCACTCCTGAATGGCTGCATTTACCTGCCTACATCCTGGCTCCAAGTATCCAAGCATAATCCCTCAGATGAAATGGCCATGCTAATGAGGAAAACAGACCAAGACCCTGCTGGGGGGCTAGTGTTTCTGAGACTAATCATGGCAGGGGATGGGATAATTTTGCACTGGCATGACTTGTGCTTTCTTCCTCGAATCATGCAACATAGGTGCTACAACCTCATTTGCCTTTAGTCACATGGAGGCAAGAGAACTTTGGCAAAATTTTGTTTAGGGTTCAAGGTTTCTTATAAGGGATAAGAAGTTGGGCAGAAGGAGGAGGAGTCAGGAAGCATATCTTTTTTTTTCTTTTAGACAGAGTTTCACTCGTCACCCTGGCTGGAGTGCAGTGGCACGATCTCAGCTCACTGCAACCTCTGCCCCCCAGATTCAAGTGATTCTCCTGCCTCAGCCTCCCGAGTAGCTGGGATTACAGGTGCCCACTACCACGCCCGGCTAATTTTTTTTGTATTTTTAGTAGAGACGGGGTTTCGCCATGATGGGCAGGCTGGTCTTGAACTGCTGACCTCAAGTGATCCGCCCGCCTCGGCCTCCCAAAGTGCTGGGATTACAGGTGTGAGCCACTGCACCCGGCCAGGGAGCATATCTTCTGTTTTCTCCCTGACCTCATCTTCTGTCACCCCGACCCCTGTGTTTGCAGCGTTGACTCCTTCACTTGCTCCACCATGACCCTGATGACTCTGCCTTAGGGCCTCTGCACTGGCCCTTCCCTTTTCCTGGTCTACCTTCCCCTGGATTTCACATGGTTCATTTCTCCACCTCCTTCAAGTCTTTGCTCATTTGTATCACATTATTGAGATGGTTAAAAAAATACTCCCAAGCCCATGCTCTCAGCTCTGAACTTTCAAGATTTGTTATTTTCAAATGAACAAGACTGTTTCCTCAGGCCTTTCTTCTTACCAACCAAATAGTGTGAATACTGTTATTTGCTTTTTAATTTGTTTTCGCTTTTATTGTTTGGACCACCATCAAATGGTGCTGTGTTCTTGGAAAGAGTCTACAGCCACAATTGATTTTGCTCACAAAAATCACTGCCTGATCAATCATCTTTAGAACATAAAAATTCCAGGAGTTTTCAGGAGATGATAGGCACAATTTCCTGAAGGCCTGCCTAGAATTGATTTGCTAACATGAAGATAGATGGCTTAATGCCCTTTATCTCTCTGTCTATGGATTTCTTCTCTCATTTTTGTAACATCAGTGCTACCACCACCAACAGTAATAACACTGGCCTAGGCACTGAAGGACTTTTATCTGCATTCACTCATTTAATTTACCCAGCTCTTCTATGAGGAAAGTACTGTGCATTATGGTCTTCTTCTTACAGACTGAAAAAACGAAGCCTTGGAGACCCGAAGGAGCTTGCCAGGCAGCAAATGGTGAAGCTGATTTTGTATCCAGACAGTCTGACTGTAGAGCCTGCCTTTTCCCTCCAACAGAAAGCCAAGAGCAAAGCCATGGGAGAGAGGAGCTAATGAAAGAGACAGACCAATTAGAAGCTGAGGGTATACTTTATCTTTTTCCTTCTTCTCTCCTCCTCCTTCTTCTGGCTGGCATTCATCAAACATTGAACATATATGAACATTAACTTATATTAGGCACTATGTTCAAAGCTTTACAACTTACTTAATTCCCACAGTCACCAAGTAAGGTAAATATTTTTATTATCGCATTCTACAGATGAGGAAGCTGAGGCTTTAAAAAGTTGCATCTCATACTCAAGGTTACAGGCTTGGTAAGATGCAGAGCCAGGAACATTTTGGTAGCATTTGAATTCCTGCCATATTTTGCTAAATGTGCCCTTGCTGTTACCAAGGACCAGAGTCTTCTCAAATCCAAACATTTCTGCAAGATTAAGGCTTGAATTGCTTTTATGTATAAGTCGCTAGACAACTGGCAAGTTACTTGAATCACTTACACTGAGAGGTACCCATCTGTAAACTTGGATTCTTACAGGCTTGCTCAGAAGTATGCAGTGGTGATAAGATGCTCTACACTCCTGCAGTGTCTTCCACGAATACCAGAAACAAATTCTCACCTGCTGTTTGTGGTCCCCATCCTGTGCCAGGCACTTCTCTAAGCATTTGGCATATATTAACTTATTTAATCTTCACAGTGACCTAGAATCCCCATTCAACTAATGAGGAAATTGAGGCAGTTAAGTAAAGTCCCCAAGTTTTCCTACATGGTAAATGGCAGATCTGAAATCCAGACTATGACAGTTTGGCTTAGGAGCCTGTGCTGGTAACCACCAGGATATAGTGTTCCTTCAAGGTAAAAGACATTCTAAGGTGAATGAGAGCCAGAGAGAAAGAGAGGGAGAGAGAGAGGAAGGGAGGGAGGAAGGGAGGGAGAGAGAGAGAGAGAGAGATGGATGTGCATTTGTTCTGTATGAAGTCTCTGCACCCTCTAGAGAGCCTTTTCTTTAGTGGGTACTCATTAAGTGTATGTGGGGTTATTCAAGCTGCAGATAGACACTAACCCCATGCCTGCTCTGGTCATTTAGTGACATCAAAAGCTGCAGTCTTTATAAAGTCCAAAAAAGCACCAGTGCTATATCTAACAGATCCTTGATCGGACTCAGATGACAAAGCTATGAGCAATTAAAAAGAAACAAAACACTTACCTGCTACACCAGTAAGGAAGAAACTGATGAGGAAGCCTAGAAAGCAATGTTTAGGCATCATGGTTGCAAGTGTGACTGTTCAGGCAACCAGTGTTCCCTTTAACCAGCTCAGGACCAAAGAGGAAACTAAAATCCACAGACAGACTATCACTCCTGGGTTTAAGGCAGATGGTTCCTTGAAGCAACTACAGTTTTATTTCGATACGACATTATATTATTTTATTTTAGGCCAGTTATGAAAGTATAAAAATCACTTCAAAAAGCATTTGCTGCCACTTTTATGTGGAAGCTTGATTTTATTGGGAAGCTCGTTTTTTGTTGGGGCTTCGTTAGCTGTGGAAAGGCAAAACACTGAGGATGGGCAGACCCAAAGGGCAGGGCAGTGCAGGGATTGTGCAAGTGGCAAGCAGGTGAGTGAATGAAACGACTTGTGGGGCCTTAAGGGAATCTGGCCCCAGGAGGCGGAGAGGCTGCCAAAGACTAGGACTTGGCAGCCAGGGTGATTTTGAGTAATATGCTTGGCAGTTGCAGCTATCGGGCCCACTGGTAGTGGTTCAAAGCAAGAGGTGTCTCTCGTTGATTCACTCTTTTCCTTCCGTTTTGGTAGCTCCCCAATTAATCTCCCTGCTATGCCCCATACCCTCCCGCTGCCTCTAGCTCTCCACAGGGCTCCCTGCCATACGCCTCAGCCTCCTCCACTCCATAGTGGCCCTGGGTTCCGTTTAGCTAATGCCGATTCCTCTTCCATTGTCACATGCAGTCTCCAGTGAGCTGGAAAAAGATTCTGAGCCCGTCAAACTGCATGATTCCTTTAAAAGATGAATGGGGGAGACACTCCTTTTGAGCTACATTAGATCTTTTTCACACTGTCTTTCAAATCTGATTGAACCAGCTCATCTGTTCTCTATGATTCATTATATCATTCTTCTTACCATTTTTTTTTTTACTACATGTGTTTAGAGGTACTAAAATTATACATGAAGGAACAAAAAAGTCATGTTCCATAGTGAGCGAGTCTGTGCAAACCTACCCTTAAAGTCCAAGGAAGCTGCGAGGCCAAAGAGAAAGGCTGACATATCCAGTTTCTCAGAAAGAAGCATTTAATAGGGACTTATGAACAGAGCCATATGTGTGTCCTGGACAGTGGCAAGACAAGATGGTGGACCCTCATGCCATTGCCCTGTAGACCTGAAGAAGGAATTAAGGAAATCAACTATAACCTAATAGTGGTAGTAATAGAAATGTTAAAATCCTCTTAAAGTTACTGCAAAGTGTGACCCCCCCCTCCACTGTTACACTGAAGTTAAAAGGGAATATTAACAGCCTATCTTCTCTCCGTGAACAGTGGACCTTATCTATACTCCCCAACTCCACATTCCTCAAAGTTTATTACAGGCCCAGCAAGTTCCTGCACGACTGCAGGGTCACAAGACCGATAAGTTTCGGTTGCAAGACATGTCTTTCTCAAAACGTAAGAAATGTTGTAATGCCGCCTTTGTTTCTTGCTTCTGTAACTCACTTCCCACCTCATGTAGTTCCCATCTTAAGATGTTTAAAAGTAGGAAAAGCTCTTTGTTCATGGCTCAGACTTTCTGGACGTATGTCCTACTGAACCGGTGATCACCTTCATAAACTCTCCTGAACCTTTTTCGGTCTCTCCAGTCTTTGATTGTCCCACAACATTTCTGGGGGCCAGTCCAGGATTAGAGATGGCAGATTTTCTGTCTCCTTTGCCTGTGGGCTAGAGTCCCAGGACGTGGGAGATCTGGGGTCCTTGGTCCTGCTGGGAGAGTTTTAGCCCAAAAGGAGAACAGCCGTTCCACATTCCGGAGCCTTCCCCCGACGGCACAACTGGAACCAGTGGAAAGGGTTGCAGGACAGTCACAGGAACAGTGTGCAGACATATGAACCACGGTAAGGTTTGGGCCCTAAGGCAAGACCTGTCCCATAAGGATGGAAGGGGAGCCTGGTCACCTCCCAGGGCATGACAACTAGTCCAATCCAAGGGGGTTGGAACAATGGGAGAGGCCCATTGATTCCGATGAAACTCACACTCTAACTGACACCAGACGCAGGTGGGGCTTGTGAGTCGGTCAGAAAGGAAAATCATTTTGGGGATGGGGGAGGTGTGTGAAAGTGTGTGAAAGATGGTCTTAGGAGAGACCAAGGCAGGGTTGATGTGGGGAGGCACAGATCTCTTAGCGTGGACTGTGTGCTCCGAGGTGAGTGTGGGAAAAACCAGACCTAGGACACTGCATACGGCCCATAGGACCAGCTCCACGGCTGCAGGTAGCTGTGACAGGAATTAAGGCATGCTCCTGGCTAAGCAGTGTCCGAACCTCCTATAATAGGACCTGGTCTGGGGGATCCAAGAGTGAAAGTGAGAGTGAAAGCACGTCGTGAGGGAGGAAATGGGAGGAAAAGCGTCAAAGCCTACTCCGCTGGAGTGCATGCTGAAAAACTTTAAAAAAAGATTTTAATGGTGATTATGGGGTTAAGCTAACTCCACAGAAACTGAGAATCTTTTTTGAGATAAAACAGCCATATTTTAACGTAGGGTGGCCAGCCAAGGGGACAATAGACAGGGAGATAACTGGCTGAGTGTTTCAGGTGGTTACCAGGCTTGGAGAACAGCCTGGGCACCTGGATCAGTTTCCATATATTGACTCCTGGCTAAATGTAGTTCAGACCCGCCCTAAGTGGCTGCAGGCCTGCTTTGAGACCTACTGTAAGACTCTAATGGCCAAGACAAAACCAGAAACAATAGAAAGAAGCTGCAAGGCATCAGGAAAAGAAAAGGAGTCACAGGAAAAGCAAAAACAAAACAAAACAAAACAAAACAAAACAAAACAAAACAAAACACCTGTCCTACAGGCCCCACCTGAAGAGTTAGAAATTCCACCGCACTATGCACCAATTTATCCTCCCTTGGCCCCTGGCAAGGCTTAGATAGGAGGCTGCCCTGGCTACCTCCGGAGACTCAGACTCAGAAGGAAGCACCCCTCAGGCAACACCATGCAGAGAAGAGCCAGAGCCCTTGCTTGAAAAGCCAGGGGAGGAACTCCAGGGGGATAAGGTCAGCTGCCTTAGGTCAGTTCGCGTGCAAGCAATGCAGATGCCACTCTGAGAAACCTGGGGACAAATTTATTTGAATGCACAGAATGAAGTCCAAGGGGGAGAACAGCTCTTCATTTGTCAGTCCTTCTCTACTACTGATCTCTTAAATTGGAGACAACATACTCCCTCCTATACAGAGAAGTCTCAGGCTCTTATAGATCTAATGCAGTCCATTTTCCTAACTCACAATCCTACCTGGGCTGATTGCAAACAACTTCTTCTGTCATTATTTAATATGGAAGAGCACTGTAGAGTTATACAAGCCACTCTCCAGTGGCTGGAGAACAATGTACCCACAGGCACAAGAGATATCAGACAGTATGTACAACAAGCACTCCAGATAGAGGCTGATGCAGGCTGGGACCCTAACCAGGCTCAAGGGCTACAAAGTTCGCCGCGGTATCAAGAGGCACCCCTAAATGGAATAAAGGCTGGAGGGAAAAAGTCCACCAATATCGGAAAGCTCTCACAGGTCCGCCAGAAGCCAGATAAAAGTCCCAGTGAATTTTATGAGAGGCTCTGCGAGGCTTACCAGCTTTACATGCCACTTGACCAAGAGGCTGCGGGTAATCAGTGTATGGTTAATGCGGCATTTGTAAGTCAGGCACAAGAAGACATAAAGCAAAAGCTTCAGAAAAAAAGTTAGAAGGGTTTGAAGGCATGAATATTACGCAACTTATCTAGGTGGCTACTAAGGTGTTTGTAAATCAGAATGAGGAGGCCAAGAGAAAAGCTAGATGCAGAACTAAGGAAAAGGCAGACTTGCTGGCGGCGGCCTTAGTTGGAAGAGAAACTTGTTTTGTGAGAGGATGTGGTCATGGTTGCGGTCATGATAAAGGACAAACTAGGCAAAACCAGAAAGCTAAGCCAGGACAAGAGGGCAGACCAAGGCTTGAGAGAGATCAACGTGTGAGATGCAAGCAGATGGGACACTAGAAGAATGAATGCCAAATTGTCCAGTGCCCTTGTTAGGAAGAGACTTGCTGCAGAAATTGCAAGCACAAATCTCCTTTGCGCCAGAAGGGGACATGACTCTAAATCTAGGTCAAAGAAAAGCCATGATAATGACCGTTACTGTCCCAACAACAGAGGAATGGTAATAATTTGGGTGCCCCAAACAGTTGTGACCCTGATGGAGCAGAAGGGGCATCGCTGGCTTTCTAACCCTAGGATGTTAAGATATCAAGGACTTTTGTGTAAAAACCCCGACATAACCTTGGAGACTGTGAATACTGTAAATCCAGCCACACTGCTGCCAATAGAATGGGCGGAGCACGGAAAGCCCCCATTGTGTGACCCAGGGTATCACTGTTGTGTGGAAACTGTGGATGAGGTTTTCTCAAGCTGAAAAGGCTTAAAGGACTAGCCCTTAAAAGACCCACATGTTAAATAGTTTACTGATGGAAGCAGCTTCATATCTAAAGGTGTCAGATAGGCTGGATATGCAATGGCAACACTGACTTCAGTAGCCGAAGCCTGCCCTCTGCCGGTTGGAACTTTGGCCCAAAGAGCTGAGCTAATAGCTCTTACTAGGGTGTTGCTTTTGGCCAAAGGAAAATCAGTAAACATCTATACTGACTCAAGGTATGCCTTTGCCACTTTGCATGCCCATGGAGCCATATATAAGGAAAGAGGATTGTTAACTACTGAAGGAAAGGAAATAAAAAATAAAAAGTAAGTAGAGCAGCTCTTAGAAGCCGTATGGGCTCCAAAAGAAGTAGCCGTCATCAATTGCAAAGGGCATCAAACAGGAGGAGGTGACAAGGCTAGGGGAAACAGAAAGGCGGACAGAGAAGCCAAAAGAGCTGCAATGACAGAGGTAACTAAGAAGGAAGAGGAAACCTTTGCCATGCCCTTATTGAAGCTTCCCCTTAAGGAACCCCCTAACTACTCCTCTAATGAAAAGGCTTGGTTTGAGCAGGAAAGTAGAAGTTACCAGAAAGGAAGTTGGTGGAAGTTCTCAAACAGGAGGCTCACCAGCCATCCCAGAAGCAATAGCCCCCGGTTCATAAAACAGTTTCATCAAGGAACACATATGGGAAAAACTGCGTTAGAGACTCTTGTAGGATGGCATTTCTATTGCTGCGCCTAACCACCATCACTCGAGCCATTTGTGAGTAACGTTTAACTTGTGCCCCAAACAATCCATAGCAGGGGCCAACATGGCCCTCAGGGATTCTGGAAACTGGAGCTACACCCTGTGAAAACCTGCATGTGAACTTTACTGAGCTGCCTCAGGCCGGAGGCTACCAGTACATGCTAGTGTTTGTCTGCACTTTCCCAGGTTGGGTCGAGGGATTTCCCATCAGGACAAAGAAAGTTCAGGAAGTAACTAGAATCTTACTAAAGGACATTATTCCTAGATTCGGACTGCCTCTAACTTTAGGATCAGACAATGGCCCAGCATTTGTCGCAGAAATAATACAACAGCTAACGCAGAGGTTAAAAATCAAATGAAAACTGCATACAGCTTATCACCCACAGAGTTCTGGAAAGTTGAAAGAATCAACTGGACACTCAAACAGCTTTTAAAAAAGTTCTACCATGAAACTCATCTAAGGTGGGACCAGGTGCTGCCCATTGTCCTTCTCTGAGTCAGGTGCACTCCTACTAAATTAACTGGGTATTCACCCTGTAAGATAGTGTTTGGCCGACACCCCCATCATAACTCAGATAAAAGGAGATTTTAAAAATTGGGAAATTAACCTTAAGAAGGCAAATGCAAGCCTTAGGTGAGGCCATGCAGGAAATACAGGGTGAGTAAGAGAAAGAACACCTGTTAGCCTCACAGATGCAGTACATCCCTTCCAACCTGGAGACTCTGTCTGGGTCAAACGATGGGAACCCAACCACTTTAGAGCCTTTATGGGATGGCCCCCATATTGTGATCTTATCTACCCCCACTGCTGTTAGAGTTGCAAGTATCACACCTTGGGTTCATCACAGCCGGCTGAAACCAGCAACAGCCACCGCCCAGGACCAGTGGATCAGTCAACAAAACCCAGACCACCCGACATGGTTGATCCTGTGGTGAAATCAAGCCACTGCTGACAAGGACAACTGCCCTGCTCTGACCACACCGGAGGCTGGTCAGTCCACGCACGACTGAAGCTTGAGGAAACATTGAGCCCTGCTCTAGTCACACAAACGGAAGCTGACTAGTCTATGCATGGCTGAAGCCTGAGGAAGTCAACGATACATAAGTAAATGTGGCTTAAATTTACAAACATAGTTACACTCTTACTTGTAGTAATTATTTTGCTGTCCTGTTATCTCTGCAAATGCTGCCAAGCTTGTTGCCTAGAAAAGTGCCCATGCATAGTGTAAGTTTAATCATATTAGTAATACTGAAGCCACTGACACTTTCACTTATGGTTATAAAAGGGGACCAGGATGACCGTCATCACTGTATGATAGAAGCCTGGTCCGGAAAAGGTGTGACTAAAACTCTGTTATACCAGACCTACTGTGAGTGTACAGGGACTCATACCAGAACTTGTGTTTATAACCAGACTAGTTATTCGGTCTGTGATCCTGGAAACGGGCAGCCCCAAGTATGTTGTGACCCAGAGTTCTTGCTCTGACTTCTACTTTGAAGTCCAAATTGGTCAACCCCTAATGCCCCTAAGACCTGGTGAATTCCTGCATGGCTGCAGGGTCACAAGAGTGATAAGTTTAGGTTGCAAGACATTTCTTTCTCAAAATGTAAGAAATGTTGTAATGCTGCCTTTGTTTCTTGCTTCTGTAACTCGCTTCCCGCCTCACGTGGTTCCCACCTTAAGATATTTAAAAGTGGGAAAAGCCCTTTGTTTGGGGCTCAGACTAGCTGAGCCGGTGATCACCTTAATTTAATAAACTTTCCTGAACTTTTTTCAGTCTCTCCAGTCTTTGATTGTCCCGCAACAGACTCAGGGCTTACATACCACTGGGAAGGGGCCTGCGTAATTCAGAAGGGATGTATGTGACAATTGAAGTATGATAACATCAAGGTGCTTTTGACGTACAGGCAGGACTTATGACAAGTATATGTTCTCATACAAGGAACAATAGATAAACCAGACATCTTAGAAGGCTTCCTGGAAAAGGATTAATCAGAAGTCAACATGGCAGATTAGCATCTAAGATGAAGTTGCTTTGGCCTCCACAACTCATAAAGGTTTTGTTGTTGTTGTTAAAAAGAGAGGCTCTTTAGATCAAAAGGGGAAATGTATACTGATTTCTATTTTCTCTTGTATACTCTCAAGTTCTTGGTAGAGTAACTCCTTTAGTAAGGAATAATGATGGCTTCTAAGCAGTATCCATCCGTCCACCTATCCAATAACATTTCACAAATATTTGCTGTCCCACCATAAACTAGGAAATAGTCTTAGCAGCAAGGATGCAGCAGCAGATAAGACAGACATTGTCCCTGCCTTCCTTAAGCTTGCTTCTCAAGGGAAAAGTAGATAATAAGGAGCTACGGCAGGGTTACGACTTCTATTCATCTAGCCTTCTCTGTCTCTTTCTTCTCCTTCTTAAATGGGAGATGAAAAGTTTCAGAAGTCGGCTTGTAAAGCCACTTTGCCTCCCACCCTCCATCACAACCGTTAACCAAGACTAGAATGTGGGAGGGGAAGGGGGTAAAATTCAAGTGCTGAAAGGAGAGGACTGGGTGCTGCTGAAGTGGAGGAGGCAGAGTCTTCAAAGAGAAAGGGAAGGATGGCCTTCCGCATACAGACAGGAGCAGAGGAGTTGTTCTCAAGTGTAGACCCTCCATCCCAACCCCATGACCCAGCACCTGTGAACATTTCTAGACACTTGGGTGCCTGAGACTGTGAGGCCTTGGGTGGAGCTGGGGCCACGCAGGGAAAACTTTATTCCTGATCAAAGGGTCTTAGAAGAGAGCCTATCAGAAATTTCCTCAGAAACCAGATCCCAGTGGACCAGGCCACTATCATTTGTCAGTTAACAAATTTCAGTTATTGGAGGGCAGTTGCGATGCATGCTTTCTGAGGCCAGCTCTATATGGAAAGGTTTGTGAGGATAACATCAGGTTTCCCAGCGCCTCTGTTCTATGTCAGTCTTCTGAATCCAGGCTTGTATCTCCTCCAACTGAAGTTTTTGGTGATTATAAGGTAGCTTCTGCTTTGAAAGAAGAAACATGCAGCACATTTTATGTTCCCTTTTCACCTCCTCATGCTCCTTAGCTTGCAACCTTCTCAGCATTGTTATTCACTTCCCTGCTAATGTTGCCCACTGAGCTCTAGACTGCACATTGACCTTGGTATTTAAATGGGGGATGATAATCTGGGTTTGAACTATTGATGTTCAACAGCTTCAATACCGGTAGATCTCATTTTGAAGCAATCAAACTGCTCCAAGTTCCAGCTAAGAATAAAAGGAAAATATTTAAATTCAAGGTTTTATGATGAGAGCAGCAGTGAATGATATTGAGGTTTCCACCGGGTTGCTGACTTTGTCAAACAAATGAGGGGAAATTAGGGGAAGTGGGATAAGCAAAACATATTTAATAATTGAATTCTCCCCAAAACATGAGCTTTCATGCTCTGTTAAATTTCACAAACCAGACCAATTCTGTCACTGTTCAATTAGCTCTAATTGTGTAATAGAACCTGCATAAAAACCAACACTGTCAACAAGGCCTCAAGGTAGATGAAAAGATAAAATTAAATTCTAATTTCCCATCAATCTGGAAGCAGAAGAATTTGTACAGAATTGTTTCAAATGAAATGCCGTTTTGTTTGGGAAGTAAGAAAGTTTTAATCACTAGGGGATCTCCGCTCTGACTCCTTTCAGGCATGAAATGCTGGCTTCATTCCCTGCCCTCCCCCTACCTCAGCCCCACTCCGCAGTAGGGAGAGTCCACCTTGATGGTGACAATGGGTATTTCCATCATCGTGTTGACTCTGGGGAGAACTTGCTTAAACCCCTGTCTTGAACAGACTTGATTCTCTTCTTCCTTTCTTCTTGTGGCTTTCAGTAGACCAATCATTTATCTAATTAAGGAATCATTATTCATTATTTTTAGGTGTGATATGGAATTTTGGGTTTTATTTCTATTATTTTTTTAGAGCTACCTATTGTAGTACTACAGATGAAATGGCATCATGTCTGGGATTTGCTTCAAAATAATACAAAGGCCTGGGAAAGGGGGTGACCGTCCATGAGCTGATAATTGTTGAATCTGGTTGTCAGGTTTATTACACTCTACTTTTGTATATACTTAAAATTGTTCATAACAAAGAAAAAAGATTTTTAAAGTTTATCTACAAGATGTGGCCGGACACGGTGGCTCACACCTGTAATCCCAGCACTTTGGGAGGTGGAGGTAGGTGGATCATTTGAGGTGAGGAGTTCCAGACCAGCCTGGCCAACATGGTGAATCCCCGTCTATACTAAAAATACAAAAATTAGCTGGGTATGGTGGTGTGCACCTGTAATCCCAGTTACTCAGTGGGGCTGAGGCAGGAGAATTGCTGAGTCAAGGAGGTGGGGTTTGCAGTGAGCCCAGATTGCACCACTGCGCTCCAGCCTGGGCAGCAATAGAGCGAAAGTCCATCTCAAATAAATAAATAAATAAATAAATAAAGTTTACCTACAAGATGCTGTCTTCCTTTTGGTAATTTTAATACCACTGTAGTGTCAATAATAAGATCTCATAATTATGGGACACCATGTTACGTTTTTCCCATATTTTGTCTTTGTTAATCCTCTTAAGAAGCCTAGGAGGTTGGTACTATTATTCATTTGATGTTACAGATGAAGAAACTGAGACATAGAGAGAGAGGTGGAGAGAACTTGACCAGGGCTCTATAGTGAGTAGTGATAAAGTGAGGACTGAAATCAGGTCTGGTTAGCCTCAGGGCCTGAGGAGTATTATAAAACCGCTATTGTGTTATTCTTCACTTATAATAGACATTCCATAAAGGGATAGAATGATGTGAAAGAAGATTTGTCCATTGGCTTCTCGAATTGTTTATTCACTCAAACAAATGTTTACTGAGCATCTGTTATATGCCAGGCACTGTGCTAGACATCAGGGATGCAGAAATGAACAAGACAGCAGAGCCAGCCCTCAGGGAACCAACAGCATTTTCTTCAACCAGGTCTTGGTAGCAAAGGGCTAAGTGTTTCTTATTTTTTTCAGAAAAGTCTTTAAAAACTGGTGTTCAGTATGACTTTGGTGCTGTCTATTGAAGGGAAGTCAGAGCGACTGTCTTTCTGCTAGGCCCTTTCCTTCATCCTATGATTTGGTAGGCAGCTGAGCATCTTTTAAAACTTTCATAATGGATGATAATCTGAAAACCACCCTTCTCTCTGGAAAACTACAGAGCTATAGAGCCAACAACAAGGAAACAACTTGTTCTTTCTTATTTGCTGGGACCTTAATAACTCCACCGAGTAATACCTGTGTCCTCTAAGCAGTTCTGCATTCTGGAAATAATAGGCATGCAAAAATTCAAAATAGTTTGTGAACTTGAATTCAGAAAAGAAAAAGAAACATTGTTATTCAAACACAAGTGATAAGCACAATGAATAATCTGAGTCAGTTTAATTCGGATTCGTTTTTGGACTGTGATCACTAACATGTTACTTAAAATCTCCACTGATAGGACTTAGGGCTTCATGAGGTTAACATTTCCTGCTCTTCACTCTTATTTTTCTGGATAAAAGATGCTATTGATTTTGCTTTGATTATTCTTAAATATTTTAAAATTTATTTCTGAAAACCAAAACATAAAGGAGTGGTAATTTTTAAAAAATATTTAGATATTTTTATTTCAATAGCTGTGCTAGTGCAAGTGGTTTTTGGTTACATGGATGAATTGCACAGTGGTGAAGTCTGAGATACTAGTGCACCTCTCAAACGAGTAATGTACATTGTACCCAATATATAGCTTTGATTATTCTTCACCCAAGGTCACCTTGAAACTCCTACTGGATATCATCAATCATTATGCCCATGCACCAGTATGTTTGTATGTATTGTTTGATCCTGAAAAGATCTTCATGGCATTACCAGAATACAACTGGTTGTCACCTCCTCCACTGTACCCATTTGAGTAACCTGCTATCATCATCTCTTGTGTGGACTGTGGCCACAGCCTCCTCACTGGTCTGCCTGCCTCTGTCACTGTTCTCTGCATCAGGTGGAGTGTTCCTATTAAATGTCAGAATAGAACATTTTATTCAGAACCCTGCAATGCCTTCCCATTTCACTCAGATTGAAAATCAACATTTTTACATGTTGATTTACTAACATGTAAAAATTACTAAGCCCTATATAACCAGGCTCCATTACCTCTAAATTTATTTCCTACTACTCTCCTCCCAACCCATGGTGCTCCCTCCTGGGTGGTCCTTTTGCTGTTTCTCAATCATATCAGGTGCATCCCCACATTAGCAAGGTTCCCTCTGCTCTGATGCTCTTCCTGAGATGTCCAGGCTCCCTCCCTCACCTCCTTCATGTGTCTGCTCAAATATTACCTTATCAATGAATTCTATGACACCCAAAATAGCAGCACTTCTCCCCACCAGCTGTCCCTAGCACCTTTATCTGCTTGTTTTCCAAAACACTTATCATCATTTGGCAGGCTATGTTTTATTTTATTCTTGCTGTCTATCTCCCCAACTAGAATATAAGCTCCACAAGCTCAGGGATGTTATGTGCTTTGTTCACTGCTTTAACTCCAGCATTTAGGACAAGCCTAGGGACACAGTAAGCACTGATCACATGTCTAGTGAATCAATATAAAGGAATGTGATTTTAGCAACTGCCATGAATTTACAAGAATTAAGCTAAAGGAACCGGAAGGTGCTTTTCTGCTTTTCATGATCTGAAGTAGGAGTCCTGAGTTGAAGGGGCTGAGATTCTCCAGACCGTGAGGTTACTGTGGTCAGATACTCACGAGCTCAGACGCCCATAGGCAACAATGACTTTTGCAAAATCATGTAATGTTGCAGTCAACTCATCAGCTGGATAAATTAATCGAGTGACCTAGGAATTATCTGCTTCTTAAGGACAGATAGATTTCCCTGAGAAATCATCTGGGTGCTTTTGGAAGTTGGGGGCAGAAAATATAGGATAGTATTATTTGACAATTTTCTAATTCTAATTCTTCTATGGTAATTAGTGTGTTTAGATTTTTTTTTATCTCATCTAGGTTCAGTTTCTACAAAGTATATTTTCTTTAGAAGACTATTTTATTCATGCCTTTAAATTTATTGGTACAGAGTGGTGTAAGTTATTCCTTTATGATTTATTTAATTCTGTTTCTGTGACTTCCCTTTTATAATAATCCTGTTTTGAGTAATGATTTTCCCCTTGTTTTCTTATTTTTTTTTCTTAGTAAATTGGTTATTTATCTTTAAATTTCTTTTCAAGGAACAAAATTTTGTATTTATGTATTCTACTTTTAAAAAGTCATGTCTCATTTTTATCTCCTTTACCTTTAAAATTCCTTCCTTTTGTTTTTCTTTGATTTAATTTGTTGGATTTTTCAAAAAATAAAAACTCCTGAGTCAGATATTTGTTTCATTTGTTTTATTCTTTATTTTATACCAATACAAATTTTTACACTAGGAATTTCTCTGAGATGTATAAGCTCCCTTGTTGGCTCTAAAATGTGATGTTTTCTTTTTTCTTTTCTTTTCTTTTTTATTTTTTGTTTAGCAATTCTGCAATTTAGATTTTTTTCTCACCCAAGGGTTGTTAAGAATGAAAAGCAAAAGTTCCAAATGGAAGGGCTGTTTAATTTTAATTCTCATTGTTGCTTTTTCATGATTTCCAGAGAAGAAGAAAAAGATGCCTGACTTATGTAACCATGCTCAATTTGGAAATACCCTTTCTTATTGCTTTGATTTCTGGGAGGTGGATTAACATACTAGATTCACTAGTTAATTTACTCTTTAAGAACAAAGATAAAGTGTAGCCAGACAACTGCTTAGGGGTGTATCAGTCCAACAAAATGTACGTTGAGCTTCTAAACAAAATTTAAAAATCTTCATGAACCTTAGAATAAGAAAAATACCTTTTACATTTTAAAATAGTGACCTAAATTACTTTTTTTTTACTGTAGCATATGAGCAGCCACCATGACTAACTTATTTTGTATTTCTAGCTTCACCTAAGGCTATTTCTGGATGTGGCTGCTGGCTTGTCAAAGTTAAATAAAGTGTGACACATATTGTTCAAAGGCAAGTGGAAGATCTAATGTTTCTTTTTGAAATATAGGAAACTGGAGACATCAGGCAACAGTGGAAAAGCATGCACTTTGGAGAAAGGTGAAACCTGAGTTCAATTCTCTCGAAACGTACTTTGAGCTTCATCCGTTTGCAATGGGGTCCCCATCCTGGTACTTAAAGGCATGTAGGATGCCATTTCTCTTTCCCCCTCAAATGCTCCCACACAAACCCAGAGTACTCACTAACTTCATTTGATTTCTGGGGTCTCTGGACTCTTTAACTGAACCCACTTAAACATCCCATATGCCTTAGAATAGGGGCTCCACCTCAGTCAATGGGAAGGATTCCAACCTTCTTCCACATCCACGTTCCCCACTTAGCCCAACAAGACCCTGGCAGAAGCTTCTGCCCAAGGGCCATGCTGGGCCTTGGGCTCCCCTGTCGGCCCTTAGCTGGCTTCTTGTACTCTGAGCTGCACTTGTTCCAGCCTGAGGCATCCCTCCTTCCCACCCTTCATCCACAAGACCCCAGCCCTGCCTCCTCAATGTTTTATTTGCATTCTGAGTTCCTACTATATTGTATTCTCAAGACATATATCTTCTAAATTTCTAAATTACAGTAAAACAACTTCTAAATTTCAAGTGTGATATGTTTTGGCCGTGTCCCCACCCAAATCTTGTCTTGCATTGTAGCTTCCATAATCCCCATATATTGTGGGAGGGACCTGGCAGGAGGTAACTGAATTATGGGGGTGTTTTTTTCCCATGCTGTTCTCATGATAGTGAATAAGTCTTACAAGATCTGATGATTTTATAAAGGGCAGTTCTCCTGCACACATTCTCTTGCCTGCCACCATGTAAGACGTGCTTTTGTTCCTCCTTCTGCCATGATTGTGAGGCCTACCCAGTCATGTGGAACTGTGAATCCATTAAACCTCTTTTTATTATTTACCCAGTCTTGGGTATGTCTTTATTAGAAGTGTGAGAAAGGACTAATGCACTGTGCCTCAGTTTCTTCACTTGAAAAAATTCCTAACTATAAAAACCTTACCAGATAGCTAGGAGGGTTAATAAGGGAAACTTTGCCAACCATCTGCCTATAGCAGAGGCTCATGCACTTTAGTTCTCCCTCCCATTTCTTTCCCCTTCCTGCTGGAGCATGCCCCCAGGCTACCCATAGCTGCTTTGATGTTTCCTAAACTTGCAAGCAGGAATCAAGGTGTGTGGAGAGAGAGAGAGAGGAGTCTCCATAGGTCCCAGGAGGGAGTCATATCTGATTCTCAGTCCTACAGAGGGGAAGTTAAAATAATGGGAAATGAGCAGTTCTACAGATGCAGTAACATAGGTAGAATTGTTGAGGTAAAGTAAATTCACTGAATTTGGCAAGCTGTTATAGCTGGTTTTTTGTTTTTGATTTTATCTAGCTTTTTGCAATCTGACTATAATCCTATACTTTTATCTACATATTTTATTGACTTTTGATCAGTTCTGACTTGCAAGAATTCCTGCAATTCTTCTGTAAGTTTTCAAAATTTCTGGAATCACAGAAAACAGACGTGTTTCTCTCTCTGTAATACATAAAATAAATTATATTAATATTATAGGTTATATATAACATATATAAATAAATATAATAAATTATATTATATAGAGAGAAATATATTTTTTATTTTTATAAGTACATATTTATTTGGAAACTATAAAACCATAATAAAGGAGTAAAACTGACACTAATATAAGTGAAATAGAGGGGGTTGTGTAGACAATATGTTTGGTTGACAAATATTTATTGAGCACTTGTCCTGTGCCAGGCACTGTCTGAAGTTCTGGGAATATGCAGGGATTAGACAAGTTCTTGTTCTCATAGAGCTGATATCCTAGTGCCTGTGGTGGGGAGGCAGATAAAATGACACATCACTATTTTGTCAGGTGGCGCTAAGTGCCATGGAGACACACTAGGTACAGGGAGGGAGAATAATGGGAAGATACCATTGCAGGTAGGGGGTGAGGAATAGCCTCGCTGGACAGGGACATATGAACAGAGGTCTGAGTTGGGTTAGGCAGGATGCCACACAGACATTGGGGGAAGAAAATCTGAGCAGAGGGCACAGCAAAACCCGAAGACTGAGGCCAAATGAAGGAGTAGGAGGCGATGTGGCTGGAGAAGAGGGAGCAAAGGGCAGAGTGTTGGTGGTGAGGTCAGGGACCCAGCAGCCTGATCCAGGGAACTTGAACATGATGGAAGGACTTTGGGTGCATTCTGAGGAAGGGGAAACCACTGGAAGGCATTAAGTAGAAAAGAATGGAAGTGAGAGTAATTATATGTGAAAGTTGTTGGAGTCACAATGGAGTGACGATGAGGCAGGACAGGTAGTCAAGGAAGAAAGTACAGTTAACACAATAAGCCCCAGCATTCACATTGTAATCCAGCTCATGCAAGCACAGCTATCTCCTGCAGGGAATATTTCCCGTAGACAGCATTTGCACTTTGATTTTTACCTCTTCTCAAACTGACCCTGTTCTCATGATAGTAGTGAA